GAGGTAGTGGTGCTCCGTGTTCCCATAACATATCACACCCATCACTCATAAATTCCATGTGTATTGGAAATCCCATGTGTGTTTTTAGCGGGCTCTGTGAAGCATACTTCAGATTCTCCATGGCTCATGCTCTTCACCTGACCTGCAGGTGAACTGCTCTTCCCTCCCCAGTGCAGGAAGAGGTTTCCACATGCACGTGTGGGTGCTGTGGTGTGTGATGGCAACTCTTGGTGCCAGGAGGGAGCCTGATCTACTGGCTGCATCCTGGCCTGGGGGAGAAGGCTGTGATTCCTGAGGGAGCAAGGTTGTCATTTCTCAGCTGCTCATATTTCTACTCCCTTCCTTCATTCCTTTTCAGAACATGAGTGAGAACTTGAAGGACTGTTTGATCCAGACCCAGGCTTCCTTAGGGGAGATGGTGACAATAAAAACAGAGGCCTGCTCTCCACACCGGGACCAGGAGTATGGACAGCCTTGGTATGTGCCAAGCTTTGGTCTGATGTGCTCTAACCCCTTCTCTCCACCTTCCAGCTTAAAGGTGGTTTTGAGGAATATACTTGAGCTGCTTGAAGTTATTAAAGCTCTTCCTTATGAGGTCTGCCTTTGGGTGTTTGACAGGGGTGGTTGCCTACTCATGTGCACCTACTGTAGCTGAAGCCATTTCCTGCTGTGGGCTTTAGCCTTAAGGATCTGATACAGCAGCTTTTGGCAGGTTGGGTGGCAAGTTTAGTTATTTCTCTGCTACAGTGGTGGGACTAAAGGAGTTAGTCAGGCCCTGTTGCTTCAGCTTCTCTCTGTTTGCAGTCCCAGCATCTTGCTAGGTTAACATCATCTATCGTTCCCTCCTCAGCTCTGGAAGGCCTGACCCACAGTCCATGGAGATGGAACCCAAGAAACTGAAAGGGAAACGGGATGTAATCATGACCAAGAGCTTTCAGCAAGTGGATTTCTGGTGTAAGTGTCTTATGAGTGAGGGAAAAGAACCACTGCTGCTTGTGTAGACTTTGGTCTTCCCATCAGTTAGGGGCAGGAAGCAGTGGGGGGAAAAAGCCAAGGGCAAATTTGCATTCTTATCTGAAAAGACTGGCATGGTTGGTAGGGAAATTGTTGCACAGAAGCAGCTTGTCCCTGAAGGGGCTAGGCAGAAGTAGGGAGGTAGGAGGAAACATGGAAGTTGCAAATGAAAATGCACATTGGAAAACCCCGAGAGTCTGGAAAACACAATAACTTAAATTCAGAAACTACAAAGGGAGCATTGGGCAGATGACAACTGTTTCCCTTCTATTCTGGAAAGAAAACTGGTGCCATTTATGTTGGCATACCCACAGATTATCAACTGGCAGACCTGCGTCTCTGTCTGGGGACAGGACAGGTGCCTGGGATGCTGTCTCTCTCCCAAGCACAGAATGAAGGCTATGTGATGAGGGTATTTGTTTTCAGGGATGCTTGTTTTAGCTGCCCTCTGGTGTGTGGGGAATCAAACCTTTTGGCTAGAAGACTTGTGCTAAGCAGGGATGTGCAGGGAGCCCTCAGCCTCTGTCTCTGCAGGTGGTGATGGGCCTTTCCATGTGTGTTCAGCCATCAGTGGCAAATGCATGCAGGGCACCAGGGCTCAGGCAGGTGCAGGTGTTGGTAGGGGAGGTGTGGGTTGGGGCAGAGCCCGTGTTGAGAGGTGTGGCAGAACAAGGGAGCAGCAGTGAAACATCTGTGTGTGTGTAGGCTGCAGTCTGGGGAGGGGGCTCAGCTGGGCCAAGGAGAGGACAGGGAGCTGTCCTGAGTGCTGTGCATCGTGTCTGCCATACCTAACCCCTGTTTCCTTCACATCTGCAGTCTGTGAGTCCTGCCAGGAGTACTTTGTGGATGAGTGTCCAAACCATGGCCCCCCAGTGTTTGTGTCTGACACGCCAGTGCCCGTTGGCATTCCGGACCGGGCGGCGCTGACCGTCCCGCCTGGAATGGAGGTGGTTAAAGAGCCCAGTGGGGAGAATGACGTGCGCTGTATGAACGAGGTGATCCCCAAAGGTCACATCTTTGGGCCCTATGAGGGGCAGATCTCTAGCCAGGACAGGTCTGCAGGATTCTTCTCGTGGCTGGTGAGTGACAAGTTTCCCCAACTAAGTGACACCTCAGCCATGCAGTTCAGAGCTGGGGGAGTCACAGGCTTGTGGAGCCAAACCTTAGCTATCTTCCCCCTTCTCTGAAGGTCTTTTGCTGGCCACATGGGCACTACATCAGCATCGGCCTGCCGTAAATATTAGCAGCTTAAGGGTATAGATAAATGATCTAGAGATTGCAGAGTTCTCTCATGGGCCTCTAGCACTCCCTCCCAGCCTGCCTGAGCTGAGGAGGTGTCCAAGAAGCCAGAAAAAAGATCCAGTCCATCAGGAACTGATCTGCATGCAGATTCGAGCACCAAAACTCTTTTCCCCTCATACCGCATGACTTGATTAGCATATGAAATAGAGAGATCACTGGATCAACTCATGTTAAATACGAGACTTGCAATGTAGGACTTAAGTTATTAATGGGAAAAATTGAGACCTGCTGATGTGAAATGCTCCTCACAATTTTCTGTCTGTAAAATAAATGTGTGTCTCAGCCCTGTCCCAAAAGGGAAGTTAGTATTTTTTATCCCAGGATTGTTAATGATTTTGTCAACTGCATCCATAGTTACAGATATTTGTACATAGAAAAATGGCTCTCAGTCAGTTCAGAGTAGCCTCTATGCACTTCAGGTCAGCAGCCCGTAGTACTGGGATAGTGGAGATTCACATTACAGAATTTCACACCATGATGCAAGGCTAGAACTGAAGCAGTGATTTGAGATTCATAGACCTTCTCCTGCCTGGACCAGCTTGTTGATGTGCTGCATCCATTCTCTTGTTCCACAGATCGTTGATAAGAACAATCGCTACAAATCCATTGATGGGACAGATGAAACCAAAGCAAACTGGATGAGGTGAGTCCAGTTCTCTTCTGCGTTCCCTTTTGGAACCCTCTCTTCCAGAGAGAGGCCATCAAATACTCCTTACTGTTTTGTGTGTTGGAATACCAAACCAAAATGTCACCTCATTTTGCAAATGGTATGCTTGTATTGTTTCAGTATTTATTGTAATTAGTATCTTTGACATCAGATTCAAAGAAAGGGTCTGAAAAAAGACAAGAATGTGTATATGGAGGATTGCTGTTTTCTGGAATGAGAATAAATGTTAAAGATGATCCTATTTATCCACTCTTACAAGCACTGATAGGTCTCACTCCATTTTTTTTACTCATTTTTTTCTGTTATGTTCAAGTATTTGCAAAATGCTTTGCATTGCCCCCGAGGTAACATTTGATTCTGTTTGGATTTTTTTTCTTTTTGTCCCTACTCATTTGACAGATACTAAAAGAGTTGCTTTTTTTTTGCTTTCTTTCTGGGCCTCATTTGCAGCAGCTGTTGGTGCTGGCGGTGGGTTGGCAGTGCCAGCTGTCCTGTGCGAGGAGAAGGGCGAGCCGGGCGACTGAGGCAGAGCTGAGGCGTGTGCTTGCGCTCCCTCTGCTGGCCCCGTGCCTCGGCAGAGCAGCTGCGGCAGGGAGGGGCCGTGTGTGGCCGTGGGGCAGCGTTTCTAGGGTCGGCATAAATCTGCACAACGTCGGTCACGGAGGCCTCGTACGTGTGGCAAGTCACCAGCACGGGGCATTGCTGCACGGTGAGGCCCGTCAGACCAGTGCTGCTTCTGTGGGGAGCTTTGGAAGTGGTTATTATGAGGAAGGCATTTCCTGCAAGAGTAAGGGAGCGTGGGGTTAGCTGGTTTGTTGGCCTGGGTGTCTAGGATGTTCAGTTGTCCCTCGTTATGGGAATAAAAAGCATGAAGTACAGGTAAATGCAAGATTGACCTATCTGGTCCTATCTGGTTGCACCACTTTTGGCCATTTCAGTCTTCACATGGATAGCAGCTGTTCTGACATTTATTTTCATAAAGTTCAGCAAAGGATTTCATTTTTCTGTAAGGATTCTAGCTGTTACAGTTGTTCACTGCTGGATGAGATAAAATACTAGACCAGGGCTGAGGCTGGAGTCATCACTTCAAAAAGAAGCAGTGATACACTGAAGAGATACAGGTATGCAGACATATCTCGAAGTAAAGTATACAAAGTTCAAAAATCTGCATAGATTTGGATCTTTGTGATCTGCATGAGAGTGAAGCTGGGGAAAAACAGTCTTGGAAAGCAAAAATTCTATGATGAGCTCTTCTTCCTACTGCCATGAACATAAGTTTCATGTCTGGATTTAAATAGGCATTACTTGTGGTGCTAACACCAAAGAGCAGATTATTCTTGCCTAAACTTGTATTTGCTATGGTTCAGTCTCAGTATGAGTGTGGTCTGGGCCATTGTGTACAACCTTGAAAGACATGGAGGTTATGGCTTTGTGGAAAGGGGATGTTTGTGACTCCTCATGGGAAGGGTGTATCAAAGAGTCTCAGCAGGCTATACCAGTCTTACTGACCTTCTGATTTTACTCTTGAAAAGTGCTTATAACCAGTGGTATTATATAGAGTCTGACAGTTCTAGTGGCAATGGGAATCCTCAAAAAGCCTTGATTTTGTTTGTTAGCACCTTTTAGACTAAGGTGTGCTCAATATTCTGTGCTAGAACATCACCTGACACTGAGATCACATACAGAAACCACACTTGACTTCCAGGACGCTGTAGACAGCGCTCTTTTTGTTTTTCAGATGGTGCTCTTTGCTATCACTCACAGATGGAGTGCTTTGCAAAGCTGATCTACTCACCTGCTGGGTAGGTGGGTATGGCATTGGGAGGGCAGCTTGGGCTGACTCCTGTCTCTTCTTGTAGATCTGGCTATTGTTTCTGTTGTTTGAATACCACACCTGAGTCCATTTTCGTGTTGCCTGAGGACAATATATACACTGCAGCACTTGCTGGTTTAATTTCAAGTGCCTGTTTACCCAAGGCACTGGATGACAGGTAGGAAGGAGTAACAAGTGCAGCAGATGGCATGGCAATGGTAACATCCTCTTGCCCTTTCCCTCATCACTTAGTTAGTCAAGAGAAACTCCTGATGCTGGGAGTGTGTTCTCCTAAGCTGGCTGCTGGCACATGGCTAATGCACCCTTCATCTCTGTCCAGAGTAAATCCCTGCTGTTTGCAATACTTCAGGAACCTCCAACATATGCAAACATCTTCCTCCTTTTTTTTTTTTTCTGGTGGCTGTTTACTGTGGATTGCAGCAAACAGAATAAATGCTGTCTTGGACACAAACTGTAAATTGCTGCTGATGGCAGTTCTTGGGGATTCTGAAGGGTTGCAGAGAACCATCCATTTTCCTGGTAGCTTCTGAGGCAATTCTCTTAGTTGCCGGTGTCTTCTAAAACTAATGGATCTGACAAAAAAACAGAAGTAATTCAGAAAGTCCAGGAAAGTCCATCTTTCTGAGTTTGTATCACTTGGCAGATGTAGGATAGAAACTGGCAGTGCCTGACTGAACTGTTGAAGTGTAGGGTCTCATGTTTGAGGTTTCCAGGATATTTTGAGCATTTATAGTCTGTAACCCTTCTTGCATGTGAGTTTGTGAGGTCTTTGGTTTTTGACACAATATAAATTCATTGTTTGCCTTAGCCCATGTGAAAAGGCTGAAGCAAGGCTTTCTCCTTTGCCTTCCTTTCTGCCCCCTTTCCTCTCCAAACATAGTGACAGAGATCATGGGGAGCCAGACTGTCCTGTAAATCTTCCTGTATCTCCTTATAATGGAGGCATCTCTGATTTGATTTTCATATAATAATATAGCTTGGAAGGGAGCTCTGGTCATGTGTTCCAGTAACCTGCCCAAAGCAGGACCAGCTGTGACTAGTAGATCTATTTAGTACGGAGCTCCTGTTTCAACTTTACAGGACCTTTTAAACATAAGCATTTAAAAAACAGGCAGGGTTACTGTGACTGCCCATGTGTTCAGGGTGAGTAAAAGCCACCAGCCTATGAACATCATTTTGTTGAACATCATAAACTGATTTCTGCTACCTTGCAGCAAGTGGAGCAAATATTCTTGTCTATTACAGAGTCAAATTTATGCAGAGTGAAGGAATCCTAAATTACTGTGAGGCTGTGATCCTCAGAAAGCCCTGGGAAAAATTATGTGCTTGTTTCTTAGAGGCCAAGAAAAGTGGAGTTGATTGATATATTTGTGGTGTTATCATTAAGTGCCTACTGTTCAGTGTGTCTTGCGCTTTCAGATTAACCTGGGCTGAGGTGTGAATTCACAACCTCACAGCTGGGGCTGCTCGGGAGCTTGCTGAAACCCTCATGGCATCACCAGAGAGGTACTTGTAGATATCAGTGACTGCCTCTAGGGACATATGGCATGCTAGAGGAGAAAAGGATCCCTCTGACAGTAACACTGTCTGCATTTTTATTAGGAGGAAGTTGATGTGCCTCTTAGGAACCTAAGGTTAATTGAATTTGTGATTAAAACTGGCCAGAGCTCATTACTCGATGTGTGGCAAGTTTGCTATTGGAACATGTAAGTAAGATTGTTTTGACCCAAGTTGTGCCAGAGCATATGAGTGGAAACACTAAAATCTGAATATCCAGGCCTACCATAAGCTGTGCTAAGTGCACTTGGTGAGATATCCTGTGTGGGGAGAGCAGACGGGGCTCTAATTCCCCATTGAGGCAGCTTTGCTGGTGACAGCAGCTGTGAGTTTGGCAGAGAAGAGGGGCACCAGGTTTTGTGACCCCCTGTCTCCAAAGAGTGCTGTTCTGTTCTGCAAGCTCACCCCTACCCAGAGCACTTTGCAGAATACTGTTACACTTTTTCACCAGAGCAGCTTGTCAGTGGAGGTTTGTTGCCACCTCATGGAGGCACTGATGATACTGTGCAGTCATGCTTACCTGATGAGGGCATACACCAAGCCCAGTCTTGCTGAATGCCATTAAAGTCAAACTGTAAATATCCCCTTATTCAATGTTTCCTGTAGCCTTTTCCCTTTTTCTTGTGTTCAGCTGGGAGAACTCTTTTTTCCTTTTAAGTTTGGCAAGATTTCTGTTGGGGTTTTCTGAGATTCAGGATTACAAGTGCTTTGCTGGCTCTCCATCATTTCATTACCATCTCTAAACGCTCTTTCTTTCTCTCTATAAACGAAACTTCACCAAGAGAGTATCTCATGCATTCATTTATGTTTGTTCCTGTGAAATGCCTCTGTGGATTTGAGCAGCTTTTCCCAGTGGTTTTCCAGCTTTAACCAAACTGACACTTGCCCCGATGGCAGGCTGCAGTGTCAGTGAGATGGATTAAACAACAATTACGGGAATTAACGACACTAGGAAGGAACTAGAATGCCATGGGTCAGCACCTTTCTGTAGGTTCAGTCAGTCTGTTTTCTGTTTCCTTATTGAATAGATCTACTGCCTTCTTTTTTTTCCCCAATAACAAAACATAGTTAGCATTAATGTTTTGTTTATTTTGTAGTTTTCTTTGACTGTGGCTGGAGAAATTAACACAAATCTCCTTTGGACAAAACTGCTTGTTCTCAGGATAGCTGCCTCTTTTTCTCAATGGGCTGAGGCTACAAGTTGTTCATCTGAAGCATCAGAAACTGGATGCAGGCTCATGTTGGTGGCAGTGACAGAAAGCCTAGCCAGGAAAATCAAGTGGGTGGCCTCATTCCTTTTGAGAACAATGGGAAATGGCAGCCATTTCTGGGTGAAACAAGAGCTTGCTGTGAAGCAGATAAATGCTAGATGTAGAGTACCCCGGTGCTGAAAAAAGAGGTTTCTCCTTAGGGAAAGCAAGTTGCAGAAATTGCCCACCAGTCTAGTCAAAAGTCCTATGTACTGTAAAAAAAATCCAAATTTGATACAGCCTTTTCATGATATCCTGCAAGTTGTAACAGAGAAGATGGTGTAAAAATTTCTATTGCATGTTGTGCCAGATAGAACAATAAGGTATGTTTCAGGCCTCTAAATTTTCTCTAAGTTTCAAGCAGTGTCACATTAGAAGCTAATTCACCGCTCTGATTGCAAGTTCTCATGGTTTTTTTCTGTGCACAAAATGTGGCAAGTGATGTGAGGCTGAACTGAAAATCTTATGCATAAGTCAGGGCATCAGATGATGTGTAAAATTTGTTTTTACCTTTAAAGCTGAGAAGGCTCCTTCACACTAGTGTTGCTTGGTATTTTTTTTCCTAAGCTTGAAAATTGCCTTCTAGAAACAAAACAGCTGCCTTTTCCTGGTGAGAGGTTGTTGTGGGTTGGGGTAGCTGGATCCCACCAAACTCCTCTGCCCCAGTACTGCACTGGCCAAGTGGTTGGATGCAGGAGGTTGCTTTGCACTGATTTCCTTTTACCCAATTATGCTTTGCGGGATGTTCAACCCAAGGAACATGGCTGAGCGAAAGAGGAAGCCCAAGTTTTCCAAGGAAGAACTGGACATTCTGGTCACTGAGGTGACTCGAAATGAAGCCATGCTGTTTGGGAGGGAGACAATGCGTCTGTCCCATGCTGACAGGGACAAGATCTGGGAAGGCATAGCCAGGCAGATCACATCAGTCAGCCAGGTCCCCAGGTCTGTAAAAGACATTAAACACAGATGGGACGACATGAAGAGAAGGACCAAGGACAAACTGGCACTCATGCAGAGGTCCCTCTCCAGCCCCAGCAGTGCGGGGCAGCCCTCAGCCATCGTCCTGACCGCCCATGAGAGAGCCATCCAGTCGGCGCTGCATTCCTCCCACCAGAGGCACGGCCGCAGGAGAGTGGATGTGGACGAGGTTGACAGCGTGACAACGAGCTGTAAGTATCACTGCCTTAACACCTCTTTGTCTCATGCTTGCCTATCTCAGCTTGACACCAGAAGAGCATTGTGTGTTGTGTGAGATGGCTGGGTTGCCTGTCCTTCTGCTGTGGTTGTTTTCTGCTCTGGTGATTGTGGAGTGTTGAGATGGATTGTTTCCAAGTTAAAGTCATCTTTATGTGTTTGTCTAGTTCTTTTCCATACTGTCATCTGAGAGTACATAATAGATTATAAGTATGAATTAATCCTATAAGTGAGGGAGAATCTGTAGTTGGAGTATGACTGCCTCCAGTCTGCGGAAAAAGTACTTGTAAAGGATTGGAATATCTTCACCCTGATAAAACAGCAATGCTACCAAACTGAAAGGCATCTGCCTGTTCCCGATGGATCACTTCCAGGAGAGCTTTGGGGGTCTCAGTGATCACTGGTGTTCATTGCTGAGATTGGGCCGCTAATGATTTCTCAGTAGTGGTCTGAAGGATCAGCATGACCACTGTGAAAAAGGTAGACAATAATGACTCCTTCTTCACTGGTTCTAAAGAAACTGCTGGCCCTGCTTTTGAAGTTAATCTTCTTAGACCACAATTCTCAGACACCTTCCAGTGCTAAACCACAAGCTGCTTTGTGCAGGTCCTTTCCATAGTTTTGTACACAGTTTGCTTTTGTGGCGGTGCGGCTTCTTTGTGAGCTTTTAGGGATACAAAGAAGAGAAGGAGATGATAGCTTCTTGGGAAGTGAGTCCACTGACACCTCATGGGTGGCACTGTCCTACCACACTAGGTCTGATCCTATATCTGAAATTGTTAGTGGGAAAACAAGAACAAAATCTTCCAGAACTGACAAGGTGGGACTTGGTCATTCTTTGCATCTATCTTGGAAGCCAGTTGCACTATTTCAGGGGTAAAAAGAATACAGGTTATACAAGGAAATAGTGGGCAGCTGCACCAGGTGAAACCTTGTCTCTTCTTACTCTTCACATGCCTGTACCTGTGAACTGGCACATCACTAGATATTTATCAGACTGATTATAGTTTTCCTGTGGCATTTTGCTTTAGTTTTGATTTTGCATCAAGTGTATTTGCCTGATTAACATAAAAAGTCTTTTGCTGCTTTGTCTGGTTGCCTCGTTTGTCTTAGTGATGCCAAGCCACGTAGTGGCTTTGCAGAACACACTTTGAGAGAAGCAAATACAACATCTACAGTCTTCTAAGTGCAGAGGATGTAAGAAGTGATGGGGGAGCAGGATTTTTACATGTGAAGTCTGTGTCCCTCCAGAATATTTGTGCTAGCTACCTATGAGTTTGGGGAAGAGAAGTCATTGCTGCTGTCCGAAATGGATTCATATTCTATTAATGAACAGTGCGCTGTACAGAATACCACAATAGCTTGGGTTCAACCACTCTCAGGTTTCTCATGGCTAAGCTTGTCAGATTCTAACATTGCATGTTGAGTTACGCATCAGAAGCTACAGGCTTGTCTGAACTGGCAGGCTGGGGGGAGGGGAAAACCCTTTTTCCATATTCTTTGAGATATCTTGAAACAGAAACCAGTGTTGAGAGGGATTTCACATTAATAATTCATGCTTCCTCTTCTGTTTAAGCTGATGAAGATGAAGGGATGCCAGGCACTTCTCAGGAACACCACTTCTCTTCGCTGCCGAGGGCTGGTGCAGGTGTCAATCCATTCTCCAGGCCCTCCTTCCTTCGCTCCTCTTCCTCATCAGAGCCCTCGGAAGCTGCCAGCCAAAGGCAGGACCTGCGCTGTCCATCCCCACACGTCACCTCGGCCTGCAGACCCCCGCACCCCCGCACAAGGAGCCCGCCCCTCGCCAGCTTCGACCGCCAGCTTCTCCATTCCCATGCACAGCAAACAGACCTGTTCAGGCAGTTCTGCCAGGAGCTGGTGGCCATTCACAGGGACATGGCACATAGCATGCATGCCGTCAGCCAGAGCATGGCTGACCTCACCAGCCAGGTCCGCCAGATGTGTCAGACACTGACAGAAATACGTGATGGGGTCCGTGCTTTCCAGAGGATACGGGATCCTAGTGCCATGCCAGGGTCCTGTCTGCAAGCAGCTTGCTCTAAACAGTCCGCCAGGCCCAGTGCAGAGTCTAACCAAAACTCTCTAAAACTCACTCCTGCACGGGCCACCAGGTCACGAAAAAGAAAACATCATTTTTAGTCTGTTTCACATAAAGTAAAGAAGGATGCCCCTTCCTGAGCTGCTGCATGTTCACATGGCTTCCCATGTGTATCAGTATTCTGTGGAGAGGGTCAACAGCTGACCCAACCCATCCATCCCCCCTGTTGGCTAACAGAGCAGTATGAATATGGCAGCTAATTGTAGGACTGGCCCTCTGCAATGGCAAAGAGGAATCTCAGATACTATAGAGCTTGGAATGTAGGACATCTTTGGGTTCATAGAGATTAAGAGTTTTCACTGTCTTTCCCATACTTTAAATGCTGTATAAACTAAGAGATGCAATAGAAGTAATTATCTGGATATCTTCCCATGCCTGTGAAATATTTTTTACTGAAACAGCATGCTACAGAGATCCCTTTGTAATCAACTCACAAATTTATCCTAATACTGCATTTCTATTATCTTCCTCAATATTAGTATATGCAGTATGTGCAGAAATACAGAATTATGGCGATAAAAACTCTTATTGATCATTGCTTTTATCTTTCATTCAGCAATAGTGGGCTGTCTGGGGCTTACTGTGACTAATACACAGCTTTGGAAAGAGGAATGTAAAAGCAGAGCTTGTGCAGGGAAGGGAAGAAGGCATGATTCTGAGGACAGATCTGAGCACCATGGGGTTTTAGACTGCTGAAAAGGGTTGCAAAGGTGTAGGCCTTTGCAAGGATCCTGCAGTGCCACATGCACTTGTGTTAAGGAGTTCAACCTTTGTTTGCTCCAGTCTGAAACCCCTACCTTTCACAATTGCAGTTAAAATACAATTATTTCATCATATGACAACATTTAAATATAATTGTATCATATTATTTTCTTGAATGTTGTCAAATCTTTAGTTTTGAATGACCTCACCTCTTCAAAATGTGGGAGACTGAACAGAAACCAGAAAAGACGTAGGGCCTGCTACTTACATCAAACCAGTTTGGTTTTGTTTTACTGTAATTCTGTCAGCTTCAGTACAGTTACTTTGCACTTAGTTTTATTTAGGGTGGGATCTGGACTGTGTTTTCCAGTCATGAAGAGTTTACAGTCTAAATTCACAGCTATATAGGTTAAAATCTTAAACATCTTGATTTTATCCTGCTTTTTTTCCCATATGCATGCAAGAAAGAACTATGTTATTTGAATTGCTCTAGAGCTGTGTGAGGTTCCCATGTAAAACTCTGATTCTGAAACTAGGCTTTAATAGTGTCACTTCAGGTGGCGATCATGTATGTGGTAGCTGTTTTATAATATGTCTGTTTTCTCCTTAATTTTCACCTCTGCATCTAGCATGCTGCCCCCATGTCTGGAAAAACCCAGACCATTATCCTGATAAGTTTCAGCAGGGAAAAGGGTCAAGGTGTTAAACACAAAGCACACCATGCTCTCTAGGCTCTTCTACTGTATTTGGAGGTTGGTTGCAGGACACTATTCCAGTTAAAATGAGTGTGCATCATCATGCCATGGGTGGGCTACAGACTTGGCAAAAAAGTTACAGAAACTTCTGTGGAATTCAAGATAGGCAGCGCGGTGTAGCAGAAGGATGGCTCGTTTTGTGTGGTCTTCAAGGGCCATCTTTAGCCTGTCTGGCCTCCTTTCAAAGTATAGTGCACTAGCTTCTTTCCTGAAACGTCCATTGTATATCTGCTGTGTCAGGCATTCATTACATGCTTTTCCTTTTTTGTTTTTTGGGGTTTTTTTAAGATATTCCGTAATTCTAATTCAAGTAATTTATTTTTAGTGGTGCAATAAAAGATTGCTCAAGGAAGTAGTGGTCTGGCAAGGAAAAAAGCCTCATTCCTGAGGAATGACCCAACTGGTTTCATGCAGATAACATTCCCTTTAGTGCTGGTGCCAGACCAGGGCAGAACTTGCTCACCTTCCACTGAGGATGTCCTTTTACTTCTTTTGAAACATTCATATTTTGCAAAAGTCACAGCCTCTCTTCAGATGAAGGGCAGGTTGGGAAATCTGACAGAAGTGGACCTAACTTATGAATCAGTGAGAGCTGAAAGGGTGATATGTTTTAAAGGCTTTCTGAGTCAATATAGTGCTGCTGCTATATATTAATATTAGTATTTTATATTTTTATAATATTTGGTCCCTACTGATGCTCTCCCATGGGTATAGCAGTAAGATTAGCTCCTTTGATGTTGTCCAGGGGGATCCCTTGTGGGAACCCTCAGGTCTGCAAAGGAGGAGCCTTCTGCAGGTGCTGGGCACTGGAGGGAGTTAACATTATTACTGCCATCAGTTTGACCACACAGATGTATTTACAGAGAGCATCCTGGTGCAGGATGCACAGCCCTTAATGCAAATCCCCAAAGGCTGGGTACTGGTCAGGAGAAAGGACTTTTTACTATAAACTGCCTGATGTCTCCCCTAGTTTCCTCTGTGGACTATTACAGATTGGCCAGATCTGGGGACATGTCTCCTGCCCTGTGTAGACCCCTCGGTGGAGTGGCTTTTCTGTACTGGCTCGCAAAGGATACTTCTACCTGCACCTATCATGTTAACTGGCTGTTGAAGTAAGTGTCTGTGTCAAAGCAAACTACTGTGCTCAACCCTCATATCTCCATGTCTTGTACATGCTGAAAAAATTCTCTCTTTAAAAGTATTTTTATTAAGAATGCAATAAATATATAACACTTTTAACACAGCTGCTGTTGAGTCGTTTGTTTCTCTCTACAATTTTTGCCTGAGCTGGTAACTCGCCTGTCACAGGTTTGGCTCTCCTGGAGACACTTGGCATCAGAGCACAGAGGCAGGGTTTACAGGTATGGCATCCCATGGCATCAGCTGAGCTGGTGGCTGCTGTCTTGCATGGGATCTCCTGCCCTGGCTCTGTGCCCAGAGTCGGTTTGGGAAAGCCCAGTGGCTATGGAGTGGCAGCAGAAAGCCATGAGGCAAGTCCAGGGCAATAGTGGTGAGGAAAAGGGGAGAAGCCTGAGCCTTCCTCCAGCTGCAGAGGTCTCCTCCATCCTCACCATCTCTTTGGATCCTCACCAGAGGCTCTGTTCCCTCCTGGGGAGGAATGATCCCAGCTGCAGAAAAATAACTTGACTTTTTTTCTGGGTATGCTTACTTCCCATCCCAGAACTTGGGAATTTGGTGTCCTGAGTGGGCTGGGCCTTAGTAAAAATGAATCAATGATTTTTATTTGCTGCTATCTAGAGAGCCTGTGGGAAAGGTGGTCCTGCAGAGCAAGGAGCTGTGTCTGACAGCTGTGGGGGTGATGCCAGCCCCAATAGCTGCAGGTGGGTCCGAAGTAGTCTCCATTGGTGCTATGTTTGGTCCTGAAGTAGCCTGGTCAGGAACTGTGGTATTCTGGAGGCTGGCCTGTCCCAAGGACTAGCCAGGACATGAAATGATGGATTTGTGACTGGTGGCAATGCCTCTCTGCAGGACCAGGTGCAGCTGAGGATGTCTGGGTCTGCTGAAGGAGCAGTATGACTGCTCTTCCTCTCAGGATCACAGGATCCTCCCTTGGGAAACCTGCTCTGCAAGCAGGGCCTTGCCCATCAGTATGCAGTGCTTGGGTCAGCCTAACCATGCCTGTCCTGGGTGTCCAAACCAAGGTAGCCTCCTTGCTTCAATCCAAATGGAGTATTTGGCATTGGGAAGGGGACTAGACACTATGCAGCCTTTGCAGGAAGGGCTGGGTTTTTCAGGGTGTGAGCACTTTGGCCTTGGGATGTATGTCAGTGAAGGCTCATCATGCAGTCTCTCCTCAGCAGGTGGTTTGTGCCCCTGGGTCACCAAGCTGGCTGCACTTTTGTGGAATGATTTTCTCCATCCTTGGAAAGTATCTGCCTCTTAGCTGTGGTGTGTGGTGGCACTAAGTGTCTCAGACCAACAGCTGGAATGTAGGGTTTATGCAGTCCTTTGTAACCTGTGTCTTTTGTGTCTCTGGAGAAACTGGAGCCTGGGGCTGGGCAGCACTGATTCAAAACTGTGTCTTCTGTGTGGATGATCTCATCCCATTTACCTTACCTCAGGGAAGTATCACGGATGGAAAGCTTCCTCACTAGGAGTGTAAACCACTTGCTAGCTGGGTGCAGCTGAGAAGAAACGTGTTTGTGACTGGATTATCCCAGAAATCTCTGTTGGGGGCTTCTGATGAGAGTGGCTGTGCCAGTGGCTGCAGGAGGCTGGATGAGCAGCCAGGCAGCATTTGCTGCAGTGTTGCAGCAGTGCTGCAGCTCATGCCCTCCTGCCTGCACTCTCCTCCCAGCCCCTTGCTGCTCCAGCAGGTGGCCAGAGCCACCGGATGCGGGCAGCAGAACTGAGGGATACTCAGGCAGAAATGTGGAGGGCTATAGAAGCAGAAGGAGAACAGTGAACAGAAAAAGCTCATGCTTAACAAAATACTTCATAATAAAAGTGAGCCCTGGTGGGAATAGTTAACTTCCCATTCAAAGTATTTTCTACATCTCACTGTCAAATACAGTTTACTGAAAATGCACTATACCATCCTGCCACTGCTGCTTGAATTCCTTGGTGCCACTGGCTGTGGACGTAAAGGTCATGTGTGTTATATTAAGGATCTCTGAGTGACTTCAGGTTAGTAAATCTTCACAGGGGCAGCCTGGTCTGTTGTGGATGGTGGGATGCAAAGCAGGGTCTCTCCTTAGCTGGTGCTAGGAAGCATCCTAACATTTTGCTTGGACTGGAGAGAGCATCCTCTAGGATCTCCTGTGCTGCAAGGCATCAGCACACTGGTCAGTCTCAAGGGTTGTGGATCTCATGGCTGGCTGAAGGCATGCATACACCTTTTGAATAGTGATAGCTAACACACAAAAGCAATAGCCTGACAGCTGTGTGCTGTTGCAGGACCTCCTTCCCACCCCACTGGCCCAGGTCTCTCATCCTTCTCAAACACACAAAAAAGTTCCTTTGTTTTGTGATCAGAAGTAAATAAAGATTAAGAAAAGCCAATGTTGGTTGTACCAGTCTGCTGTTTAAATAATTACTGAAGATGGCAGAGAATCCTGGGTAGCAGACATTAGGAAAAATACAACTGCTTGCAGGCACATGCACAGTTGCTTAACATTAAAACCAGAGCCTTGGGCAGTCTGAGACACTGCCACTGCAGACTTCTTTTCTGTGTTTTGTGGGAAGTTTCACCAAGTTTGTGACCTTATATGTGTGGGTTAGTGGGATCACGTGCAGGTGGACTTGTGTCTTTATCTATGCATTCACATGGCTAGAGAAGGTAGAATATTCAAAACATTTGACAGATTTCTTAAGCCAAAGAAATACCTGTATATACATTAGGGAACTTAGGCAAGGACTAATTGCAGCAGATGTCAGAGGAGCCATATGCTCCCCTGCAGCCTCCTTGCCTTTGCTGAGGTTGCTGCAGCAGGGTGTGCTGAGCAACAGGGGCAAATAGCATAATAGAAAAATAAGTTTTAGGTATGAGCTGTTCATGTCTGATTTGGGGTCTACACATGCTGTGATGGGGCCTCTTTCCTGGGTAGCTGTTGTGAGCTCATGCTGGTGGCAACTGAAACCAGTATTACCAAGCCTTTTTCATGTCCTCTAGCAGGAATATGAGGAGTGTGAGAGCAAGTAATATGACATTACTGATAGATCGTTGTCTTAGCAAATTGCACAGAGCGGCCAGTTGCTTGGAGTAGGAATAAATACGTTTCTGCTGAGCTGACATGAAGCTGTTTTAAATCAGGAAAAGAAATCCCATGCCCTGGAAGTGATCTTTTTGTCAGCACTGCCAGGAGATCCCCACAATGTGGTGTTGGGGTTTCCACTTGCAGAGCTGAATTGGTTTTTTATGTCACACCCTGCTGAACTCTGAAGTGCAAAACCTTCCTATACTGGTATGTCCTTGGACAACCAGCACATACTCCCATGCCCATTAGGTATCCATGTTTCTGTCCTTAGAATCTTAATTCTGCTTGCCTGAAGAAAAAAGGAAGGCAGTGTTTTTGGGAAGCAGGCAGGCAGCGGAACCCTTCTGTATTCCAGGTATTCCTGAGAACAAGGGAGGGAGCCCTGGGACGTGAAGTGATGGTAGGAGTCCAGAAGTCCTTGTTTCCATCACTAGGCAAAGATATTTCTGACTGGTAGAGTCTGTCACCCTTGCTGGCAGACATCCCTTCAGACTGGATGTGCATTTGTGTCATCCCTTCCCCAGCAAAAAACAGCCCCTCTGGCTTAGTGTTCCCTGGGTGTCCATGCTCGTTTGCACACCATTGCTTATAATTCCATGCTTTCCAGCCTGGCTGTGTTGATGTCTCTCTCCAAAGGTCATTCTGGCTTCTTCATGGTTGTCATTCTGACGCAAGGGGGGGCACAGGAGAGAAGTTTGTGCTTCACACCTGCCTTGTCCCCTTGCCCTCAGGTACGTCATCATCTCCCGGGAGGAGAGGGAGCAGAACCTGATGGCCTTCCAGCACAGTGAGAGGATTTACTTCCGTGCCTGCCGTGACATCCACCCTGGGGAGAAGCTGCGGGTCTGGTACAGTGAGGATTACATGAAGCGGTTGCACAGTATGTCCCAGGAAACCATGAAAAGAAATTGCACAAGTGGTGAGTCCCTTCCCTTTCCATCCTCTCTCCTGATCCCCTCAGGCTGCCCCACAGCTGGGCCAAGTGTGGTGGGTGAAGTAGGTTTTGCAGAGGCTGTGTGAGGAGAACTGCATTTCTAGAAGCAGAGCACCTCCAGGTGAGAGCCCCCAGCTCTGACTGGCACAGATGGATGGGTGTACAAGAAGACTAAGATACCCACAGTCATGGAGATAATGAAAGAAAGATTTGTGCTGTGATGTGTCACGTCATGTGTTGTGTTGTGCCATGCTGTGTGTGTGTGTGTGTGCCTGATGCAATGCCCAGGGATCACAGAGCACCCCTGTCACAAGACTTTTTGGCCCGAAGATTGCCAAGCTGACGATCCTACAAGACAGAGTTAGGTTTTTCCTCTGAACATGCTGCTCTCTCTGGCTCCTGTGAGCAGCCTGTTTGAGGGAGCTGTGGCTGGTTTTCTGTCCATATGAATGAGATTTCCTTGGTGTGTTTGTATGTCCATTTTCCTCGTTTAATTTATCTCCTCTTTCTTCAGAAAGATAATTTGGGATCAGCGCGACATCAGCTCCTTAGTCTCACAACCTTAGAATGTGTGTACAACGTACAGGAGGCTTTGTACTTGTCAGACTGATTCTTCCTTGGATAAAAATTGTTATCTTGTCTAAAAAGTAGCAATGTTGAATCAAACCCAGCAGTCCTTTGGGCCCATGTATTGTCAGCAATACAGGAAGCTTTAGAGGAAAGCAAAAATTCTTAATGCATCTGTTCATCTGTACAGTGCTGATACCTGAAGTTAATTAGGAACATTTCTTTCCAGGCTAGATGCAGAATGGCAGGGCCTCAGAGGGGCAGCCACACTAAATATAATTTGTAATTATCATTCCTGAGTATATTATTACACAGCTGCTGTTGCTGCCTTGACTTGGTAAAAGGTGTCTCCTCTTCAGTCATGGGGTGGACAAGTTGTCCTGAAAAAGCTGGTTATCTCTATCACCTTAGGGTTGTTATGCACTTGCAGTGTTACATCGTGGTGGCTGTACTTGGGTAATTCCCACTTCTGAATCAACATTGGTATGAATTTGCTTTTTTATGTTAATCAACACCAGTGAGTGATTAGGTACAGGCTGCAGTGATTTTGCTGCTGTAACATGCACACATTAGTCATCCAGATGGCCTAGTGCTTTCTGAAAGTACAGCAAGAGACAGTCTGTGCCCTTGAAGCAGCTGCTCTACAGGGGCACCAAGGCTACGAGCTATTGCCCTGTCATGCAGACATGCCTTTAGTCCTGGATTGTCATGGTGTCATGGTTTGTGGGAGCTGAAACGGTAACTCACAGCCTGCTCTGTGCTACGAGTGTGGTGAAGATCTGCCTCAGGACTCTCCAGAACCTGCCACAGCCTAATGCACCTTCAGGTAGAGACTCATGTGGCTACAGAGACCATTCCAGAAACCCCCTGACATCTTGGTGAGCTCATCCTGCTGCAAGCTGGGCTCAGCCTGCATTCACAGAAGGGGCACAGAGATGTTAAAATGGAGCATCACCTGGGCCATTGCTAGACTTGCAAGAGACATCAAAGCCTCCACTGGGAGGGCACTGGGAAGTGGTCAGAAAGCAGCACAAAAATCTGCTGAGTCACTTTCTATTTAAAAGATTTCAAATCCCTGCAGATGAGTCTGTCAAAGGAAGTGGCACACTTTACGAACTCACAGAAAAATAACATGGTTCCTGGGTTTTGCTTCTGCTGATTGTTTCTGAGCCACCTCATCATTGGAGTTGAGACCAGTAATATGAGGGATCATCATTTCTAGCTTTTCAATAGGGCTGGAGCACTCACCTGGCTGGGGGACAAAATCACCAAGAAAGAAGAACCAGTTCTCTAAATCACTACCTCTCACAATAGTTGCTGTGGTCCATAACAGGGGAAATACTAAGAGAGAGAGTAAAAGCTTTGTCCATAGAAATTCTCATCAATGTGTTGAAAATGAGATCTGTTGTTATGGATTCCCTAAAGAAGTGTCTGGGTTTCCCAGCCAGCATCCAAAGCCAGTGTAAAATCCCATCCATTCAGGCCAGCCCTTTTTACAGTGCCTTACTCTGTTTCGAGTCTTGCATCTTTACTGCATTCTTAGCATTGCTCTCCTTAGAGAGGGAATGGTAGCTTTTGCTCCATAACTCTTATGAAAGCATGAATACACTTTGAGCAAACAAAACCAAAAATCAGCATAAAGCAGCGTCTTGTTTGGGAAGCCATCAATGCTTGAAGTTATTTACAAGATAGAAGAGTGATGGAAATTGAGCCAAACGTATCGTCTTTTGAATTTCCAGGTAAGGAAATCTGGCTATTCCCTTTATTATAAGCAATTAATAATTTATATGAGGTTACTTTTGATATTTTTTTTTCAATTACTGAATGATCATGCTCTCAGGCTCCACCAGGACAAGCTAGATGTCCCATCCTTGGAGGGCATTCACCTGTTGTAGCTCAGTTGGCAATGTGTACCTTAGGTTTTAAGTGTGCAAGTTGTTTTTACTCCTTTACCTTTGCATTTCTGGAGCAGCCTCCAAACTGAACAAGAGTAAAGGGGCTTGCAAACTTTGTGCCATGATGTGCACAGACACTGGGGTTGTCATGAAATGGTGTAAATCTCTCGCTGCACTGCTGTACGCTTGATACCTTTTACCAAGTCAAAACAGGCACAGGACTTCCAGCCAGCCAAAATAGCACTTAGGCTCTGGGTATAGTTTCCACCATGATCAGTCATTCACCTCATAGTCCTCTTCCAACGCAGGTTGGTTATACCTTTAGGTTAAACAAGCTGCCTGTAGTTTCTCTTCTCTGAAGTGTGTGGGTTCTACTCTGCTGTGGTTACCCAGGACTGTCTCTGTTTTTGCAGACATGCCCATTAGCAGGACTTTTCCTCTTGCAAGCCTCAATTTCCACTGAGTTGTGTCAGTTCCCTGGCTTGTAACATAATATGCAGACCTGCAGGGATTCAGTCTGCCTTTTTGTTCTTTTTTGTTTGAGTTTTAGATTGAGGGATGTTGCTCCGTTCCCAGTGATAATCCCCACCCCTCATTTTCCATTCTAGGAGAGAAAATGTTACAGAATGAAAACTCAGAAAAGAATGTAGAAAACCAAGAGGATGCAAGAGGAGCACTCCAGTTCACTACCTTAAAGCAGGGGAAGAGCCCCTACAAGCGCAGCTGTGACGAAGGGGAATCCCACCCCCAAACAAAGAAAAAAAAAATTGACCTCATCTTCAAAGATGTCTTGGAGGCTTCTTTGGAGTCTGCCAAGTTTGAAGACAACCAGTTAACAACAAGTACACCACTTCCCCTCAGAAGAGCATCTAAATACCAGGCTGAAGACATCTTTGAGCAGTGTGGCAGTGCCATGCAGCACGGCTCCCTGAGCCTCAGCAGAAGCCAGAGGGAGAGCGAATGGAGGGTCCCTCACAGTTCCTCTTTTATCTCAGCCAAGGAGATGAGCATCCTTGAAGACGAGGAAGAAGAGCCCCTGTCACTTAAAGCAGACAGCCCCACTGAGCTGTCACTGGCCTCTGCACAAGGCAATTCCCATGAAATCCCCACCACGTCCTTCTGCCCCAACTGCATCCGGCTGAAGAAGAAAATCCGGGAGCTGCAGGCTGAGTTAGACATGCTGAGATCTGGGAAGTTACCCGAGGCACCCGTGTTACCGCCCCAGGTACCCGAGCTCCAAGAGTTCTCAGACCCCACAGGTAAGCCTTGCCGAGTTAGAGCATTCTCCAAACCCTGCCTAAGGAGAGTAGTGAGATGCCTGTGTGCTGTGTACCCGTCTAAAGCATTTTGCTCTGAGTATTCAGGTGAACCTGTGGTTCCATGGAAGGTTCTTTGTCAGGTTTTGTGACTGGGTGGGCCAGGAGCTGATGCTGTGGGTACAGTGGAAAACTGTTTGGGAAAGACTCTGTATGACAATTTGCTCTATTTGTTGCCATTGTAATTGATAATGCACTGCCAATAAAAAAGACATTCCATTGCAGACAGTTTGTTTGCTGTATTTTTGATGCATTCTCTTTCAGCGGAAGACCTTCCACAATGCCTCATATGCTACCAAGAAAGTATGAATGACTGTTGTATTGCTGAAATGCGCTCTCTTTGTGTATGAAATTATGTCCTGCTGTGTCCCTTGTTGGAAATCACTCTTTGTTTCCTCCACTGCCTTAACACAACCACGTGTGCCTTTTTGAAGATGCATTTAATTTCCTCCAGGAATATGCTGTCAAGCAGCCAGGAGCCTTCAGTAAAAGGAATATTTGGGTCACACAGTGTATTGTTCAAGTGGCCAGGATCTAGTGTCCTTTTTTGCTGTTCATTGTGGCATGTTGGAGACAAAGTTCTTATGCAGAGATATTGATTTCTTTTCCTGTCAAAGTCATTATTAAAATTCTATCTGTAATGTATTGTGGGAAGGAGAAGAGACGTTGTGGCCAGCGCTTTGGGCAGTGCTCTTACTGTCACCAATAGGATGCTTCTCTAGCTCAGCAACTTTGTAAATACCATATTTTTTTTCCTTTTTTGTTACAGCTTCAGAAAGTATCATCTCAGTTCCCACCATCATGGAGGATGATGACCAAGAGGTGGATTCTGCTGATGAATCAGTTTCCAATGATATGATTGCTGCTACAGATGAGCCTTCTAAGATGTCTTCTGCAACAGGACGGAGGATACGGCGGTTCAAGCAAGAGTGGCTTAAAAAGTTTTGGTTTCTGCGGTACTCCCCGACACTGAACGAGATGTGGTGCCATGTCTGTAGGCAGTACACAGTGCAATCTTCTCGGACTTCAGCCTTCATCATTGGCTCTAAGCAGTTCAAGATACACACGATAAAGCTTCACAGCCAGAGCAACCTCCACAAGAAGTGCCTGCAGCTTTACAAGCTCAGGATGCACCCAGAGAAGACAGAAGAGATGTGCCGAAATATGACCCTGCTCTTCAACACAGCCTACCACCTGGCCCTGGAGGGCAGGCCCTACTACGACTTTCGGCCTCTGGCAGAACTACTGAGAAAGTGCGAACTCAAGGTGGTGGATCAGTACATGAATGAGGGAGACTGCCAGATCTTAATTCACCATATCGCCCGCGCTCTCCGAGAGGACCTGGTTGAGCGCATCCGGCAGTCTCCCTTCCTCAGCATCATTCTGGATGGGCAGAGTGACGACTTGCTTGCAGATACAGTTGCAGTCTATGTGCAGTACACCAGCAGCGATGGGCCTCCAGCAACTGAATTCCTGTCTCTTCAGGAGCTCGGCTTTTCTACAACAGACAGTTACCTTCAAGCATTAGATCGTGCTTTTTCCAGCCTGGGAATACGATTGCAGGATGAGAAGCCAACTATCGGCTTGGGAGTTGATGGTGCTAACATTACCGCCAGCCTGAGAGCCAACTTGTTCATGACAATCAGAAAGACCTTGCCCTGGCTTCTCTGTCTTCCCTTTATGGTGCATAGGCCCCACTTGGAAATTTTGGATGCCATTAGTGGGAAGGAACTACCATGTCTGGAGGAGCTAGAAAACAATTTGAAGCAACTGCTCAGTTTCTATCGTTATTCTCCCCGACTCATGTGCGAGTTAAGGGTCACTGCTGCCACTCTGTGTGAGGAGACTGAGTTCCTGGGGGACATTCGAGCAGTGAAGTGGATCATTGGGGAGCAGAACGTGCTCAACGCTCTCATCAAGGATTACCTTGAGGTTGTGGCCCATCTCAAAGATGTCAGTGGCCAAACCCAAAGGGCAGATGCTTCTGCCATTGCCTTGGCCCTCCTGCAGTTCCTGATGGACTACCAGTCGATTAAACTCATCTACTTCCTGCTGGATGTGATCGCTGTGCTTTCACGCCTTGCCTACGTCTTCCAAGGGGAGTACCTTCTTGTGTCACAGGTGGATGATAAAATAGAGGAGGCCATCCAGGAGATCAGCCGGCTAGCCGACTCCCCTGGGGAGTACTTGCAGGAGTTTGAGGAAAACTTCCGTGAAAGCTTTAATGGCATTGCTGTGAAAAATCTACGGGTGGCTGAAGCCAAATTCCAGTCGATCAGAGAAAAGATCTGCCAGAAGACCCAGGTGATCCTAGCCCAAAGGTTTGATTCCCGCAGCCGGACATTTGTGAAGGCCTGTCAGGTATTTGACCTTGCAGCTTGGCCCAGAAGCACTGATGAGCTCATGAGCTATGGGAAGGAGGATATGGTACAAATATTTGAACACCTGGAGACAGTCCCATCATTTTCCAGAGAAGTTTGCCGAGAAGGGATGGACACTCGAGGGAGTCTGCTGATGGAGTGGCGGGAACTCAAGGTGGATTATTATACCAAAAATGGTTTTAAAGATTTGCTCAGTCACATTTGTAAATACAAACAGAGATTTCCCCTCCTAAATAAAATAGTTCAGATCCTCAAAGTCCTTCCCACCTCTTCGGCCTGCTGTGAGAAGGGGCGCACCGCCCTGCAGAGAGTGCGCAAGAACAACCGCTCCCGGCTGACGCTGGAGCAGCTCAGTGACCTGTTGACGATTGCTGTTAACGGGCCGCCCATTGCCAACTTCGATTGCAAAAGGGCTCTCGATAGCTGGTTCGAGGAGAAGTCAGGCAACAGTTACGCGCTCTCGGCTGAGATGCTGAGCAGGATGTCATCTCTTGACCAGAAGCCGATGTTGCAGAGCATGGACCACGGCTCTGAGTTTTACCCTGATATTTAGGAAGGAATGCCTCAGATCAGATAATTTTTTTAAATCTATACTCTAAACTTTGATATATTATATAAAATATATATATTATCTATATTAAGGAAAAACCCACACTGAAAATTTAAGACGATGTGCGTCTGATAGAAGCTAAGCAGAATTTTAAAGATTGAGACAATGTTTAGACATTTACTGGTGTCTCCAACCATGGCAGCTGCAATGTAGGTGGCAACATTTCATTCTTTAGAAGCATGTGCTGGGGCCATACTCTACATGTTCAAACCTAACAACCTATAAGCTAGACAACGGGTCTTTGTCAGCCTCATCCTCCCAGCAGTTTCCTTTGTATGTGTGTTGCCAGTTTGCTGGGTTGTTTTTTGTTTTGTTTTGTTTCGTTTTGGGGTTGTTTGTTTGTTTGTTTGTTTGTTTGTTTTCCCCTCGGTTTCAATCTCTGCCTCTCTTTCCATTGTTCAGCCCAGTTATTGAGCCATTTGAGCCTTTTGTTGGCAACCATCAGATTTCTAATTTCTGACAGAGCAACCCGTGTGTTTTGTTGCCCCCAGTTCTCTTCAGCTGAGTGGAAGCTTTTTTCACTCAAAAAATTACCGACAGGAGAGGAGGGCTGAGGGCATTATTTTGGGTTTTCATTCTGATTTAGAAACAAATGCCTCCACTAAACTGTGATGCCCCTTTCTCAGTTCTCCCTACCTTTGGGCTGTAGAGTAATACTTGGCTTTCAGCTCCTTTTATGATAACCGTAGTACCAGTCTATCATACATATGTTATAACATGATGTCATGTGCAGACTATAAAATAGCAAAATAGAGAAGGCAGGGGGAAATTTTTGCATTTATATTTTTATATTGTATGAGATAAATATATATATATATATACAACTATTCATTCAAAACCAGGGCTGCTGTGAAAGCTAGACAGCCAATGAGTCGAGAGCCATCTCTGGGCGGAGATTCAAAGGCTGAAAAATTATATTCTAATTTACATTATTTATACCATGTCTCTATAATCCTAGATTGTTGTGGGGTTTTTGTTTTGTTTTGTTTTGTTTTGTTTGGAATGACTGAAAGAAAAACCTGCTGCAGTTTGGTGGCAGTAGCTATCAATGCAAGATTATCTTGGATTATAATCATGTGTGATGTCCTACAAAGGTTCACTTACTCTCTTGTGACCAAGGTAACATGTTCCACAGCACAGCAGACTGATGACAGCAGGAGGAAGGAATGCTCTGCTTCTTCCTGCAAAATATTTCTTCCTTTCTTGAAGGAATGCAGAGTCCAGCTGAAATGTGAATTGGGGGACTTGCACCTACCATCACAAAGAGATTGTTCTGTGGGCTTGGGGCTCTTCTTTGTTTTATTTTTTTGAAGTAAACAAGCTCCATCCACATATATCACTTCAGGTTAGAAAAGAGAAAAAAAACCACAAAAACACAAAAAAACCCCAACCTACCAAAAAAAACCCACACAAACAAAAAAGGTGCAAAAACTCCACAGATGCTAGTGCCTTGCCCTGCTGATGTGGCATGGACAGCACCAACCTGACCAGACCATTGTGGGAGTGAGACGTGTTGTCCAAAAGGTGTCCAAGCCAACATGTTCTCATTTCCCAGAGGGATGAGCTTTGTGCCAAGCTGTGTTGTTTGGAAACATGATGGTGGTATCAGCAACACTGAACCTTTCCTTTCTCCTGTTACCCCCCTGCCCTTGGTCTTGGTGCTAAGATATCTCTAGAACCGTTGCTGCTAGTTAATAGCTTTTCATTTATATAAATATATATATATATATATATAATATTATTTTATTTTTTAAACTTTTTTGTTTGTTTTCAATGGAGATGTAGCATGTTTGGAACTGATCTTTCTCTGAGTCACTTTCACTGCCAGGGTTCACGCACTGTCTTCCCCAGGAAAACACACACTTCTACCTAGGTCTCACTCACCTCCTGCTAACCCCTTTGCCTTCAGCAGAACTTCACAGCCAGCACTGGCAGAGGTGTGCAGCCAAGCCACTATGGACTGGTTCAACTTTCAGACCACACAGGAACAGCCAGGCTGGTGTTGGTCAGGGTTTTGGAAGTGTTTGCCTCTGTCCCTGTCGGACTGTGGGGGGACTGAGCCCACCCAAAACATGAGTGGTAGCCTGTCCTTGTGTCCTGACACTGGCCCTTCACTGTAAAACAGGGCCTTTCAGTCAGATGGTCCAAGTGGAGCAGAGTGGACCCTGTGAATGTAGCAGTGAGGGCTGGTCAGCACCCTCTGTAGCACTTACCCCTTGCCTTACCTCTGACAGCACGTGCAGCCTGAGGCTGGCTCGGGCAGGAGAGGGCAGCTGCACCAGAGCCACCCAGCTGCTGCCAAACTGCCGCCAGGGGTGCAGGCACTGGGTGCTCTTCCTTGTGGTCCTCATGGAAATGGCACAAGCTAGGTCAGGGCATCGCACAGTTGCAACACAGGGGCATTGGTATGACACACCTAGGAAGCATGAAAAATGGCTTTGTTTTCATGTTTTCCTGTATTTTCTTATAAATTTTATGATCAAGTTGATCCATTCATCCAGAGCAGTGAAAATTAAACTGGAAACCCCCTGCTAGCTGTACAGCCTTGGGTGGTTGTTTGCCTGACCATGAAGTAGGGATCTCTCCACACAAGGGGCTCGTAGCTCTCCGGGCATGGTTTGAATTGGCTCTGCTCAGGGTGCTGCCACAAAGCTCTGGAGCTGCTGCCTACTAAGGAGGTGGCAGGCTTCCTTCCTTTTTAAACTTGAGATGTAAAAACTGCTGCTCCTTTAGTTTCTGACTGGAGATGGGCAAGGTGAACATAAGTCACAGAATCCATAGAACTCCATAGCTCTTTGTGGGTAGAGAGGAAAAATCACCTGCCTTTCTGTTTGCAGCAGCAAAAGCTCCTTGGCATAGAGGCCCATCAAAGTGCCTGGCCCACATGGAGGGAAGGAACATTTGGGGACAGTCTCCAATCTCCAGACACCTTTGAAGAGAGGAATGCTCCCCCAGCACTTGTGTTGAGCAGCCCAAGAGGACTGTTTACAACCCTCGATCCAAGCCTCCTAACTTTTGCTACTGGGGAGGAAATGGCAAAGTGAAAGTTGCCAGTGGCCTGTTCAGAAATTATTCTTCCAATTTGTCACTCCTTCCCTTTGGTTCACTTGCAAATCCTGCTTTCATCAGTGACACCTTTCACTGGCAGCTTTTATTTTTTTATTTCTAATGGTGCAGTGAAATGTGTAGCATGTGGTGATATTCTCTGGCATCCAGCAGACACAGGCAGAGCACTTGTTCCTTTAGCAAATAACTGCTTGCAAACAGTGATTTCCTGCCACTGGATGTTGTGATTACCCGCGATAGGAAAGGTCAGAGACCCTTTACCTTGGTAATGAGGATAGACAAGAGCTTGGTAGAGCAGTTGGCCCAACCCAGCCCAGCCCAGCCAGGCCAGGCCTGCCCAGCCCAGCCCAGCTCAGCCCAGCCCAGCCCATCCCATCCCAGCTCCTCCAACACAATTCCCTGTTACCCACACATCAGAAAATAAACCTGGCCTTTGTCCTAGGGTAATGCAGGTGCTTTGCAAGCTTTTTCTCCAGGTTAACCTGCCTATCTCAGATCTGTAGCTCTTACTTTCATGGATAGTCTGTGGATGGAAACATGACTACCAGCATAGACAAGATAGGGAGGAGGGAGGAATATCAATGCAGAGCACCCCTGGCTTCCTAGGGCTCCCAAGCCTTTCCCAGGTGCAACTCTGTACCTGTATTTCTGGGCCCAGCCTGGTGGCAGTGAGGCCAGGAGGCAGCAGCAGGCATGGGGAGGGTTTACCAGGGTGCTGAGGGAGGCCTCCGTGGCTCCAAGTTTGCCATGCCTCGAGTTTAATCAATGCCTTTCCTGCTGTGCTGAGAGAGCAAGAGGAGCTGTTTTGGATGTGTTGCTCACAGTGTCTTGAACTGGTTAGGCTGCAAAGACAGAGGATTCAGTTTTTCTTGAATGAGCTCTTTTTTGTCTCCTTTCCCTGCATCTTAGCTATGGCATCTGACTGTGAATAATGCACACTTCTCCAAACCCTCGGGTATGTATTTCTAGCCCGTGGGATTTTTGGTTGCCAATTTCCCTTCCCCACTTCTTGCTCAGGCTCCTTGCCTCTTTTACCCTGCTGTGAAGCAGAAATCTGTGAAGCACATTTAGACATGTCCTTCTGCAGGGCTCACCTTGTGTCCACAGGGATCCAGGCCCTCCAGCCACGAGACCGACCTCAGCAGGGATAATCCTCACAGGAAACCAAAGCTCTTCCCATGCCAGCAAAAGCACACGGAAGTTACAGGGGCTGTGAGGGGCACAGTGGGCAGGGTCCTCATGTGGTGTTTGCCTTGGGTCTTGAGCCAACTGCACCCATGTCCCCTGTACTGGTGATGCTCTTGCTGGTATGATTGTTCAGACATGATTCAGGCTCAGTCCATCTCTTACTCACAGCACAAACTCAACCAGATGGCCTGCAGGGTCTTTGGAGTTCCCCTCCTTTCTTATGTCATGAGGATTGCTGTTTGTTTGACCATTGCCTAGACAGCTGGCTTGCAAATAAGCAGCAACAGCCTCTGCTTTTGCAGATTCCCCTTTCACCCCTGTTAAAAGAGGTCTTAAAAGCAGAGAAATGGTACGTTAATCCCCCAGCCATTGTATCCAATGCAGTAATGCCTATGCAATTCCTGTCTCCCTTGGAGACACGTATGATGTGTGTGCATGTAAGCTAGCGTATGTATACAGTACATATGCATATGGTCTATATATTGTATATACGCACATCCCAGTACATATACACACAGTACAAAAGATTAAAATCACATGCTTATATATCTATAAATGAAATCCTATATATTTATATATTTCTATGTTTTCAATAGATATAAAAATATAATATAGAGATAGACTCAACCACCCTTGTGTAAGGCTGGCCCTGTGTTCTAGCACAAGGCACGTAACACTGAAGACTTTGGACTATGGGATGGTTTTAGCCATACACTGAGGCCTACATTTACATGTATAGCACTCTATCGAGAGGGGCTTGGCTGTGTTTAGGCCAAGGGGTTTCCTTGCTGGCATGTTAACCAAGTGATAAATAAGGTTTGTTTAATAATGGAATGTCTTGGTAGGGGAAAATGCTTGAGTGTCCTCCCAAGAAAGCCTCTTGCTGGGAGCCTGTGTGTTCACACTTAGACACATATCCACCCTCACATGCACTTTTGTCTCTCTGCATGGACACGGTTGGCAACTGCGGGCACTGGTGCTGAGGAAACGTGGCTTTTTGCAGTTCCTCCTGGCATTCTTCAGCAGTTGCCAGCACTCTGCCAGGGAGACCCTGCACTGGCCAGCACTCATGTGGCCCCAGCGAGAGTGTGGGTGCACTTGCAGGCGACGGTCAGCAACACAGCCGTGGCACTGGGATAAAGGCAGCAGGAGAGCCAAGGTGGTTTTGAGCAGAGGAAAGGTTACGGCCACACAGGTGGTGCTGGCAGGGATAGTGTATGGAGCTGGAACAGTGCAAACGAGAAGGAATCGTGAAGTCGGAGCAATAGGGATAAGAGTGCCTGATCCCAGTTGGGAAGGCACACCCAGCTCTGTTGGGTCAGGCTGGCTGCTGTTCTGCTGCTGGAGCCACTCTGCTCCCTCAGGTCTCCCAGCCGCTCCTCAGCCTGTGAGCAGCCTGCCTGGCCAGGGGCCCAGGGAGGCTTTCTGGAGGAAGGGGAATGATGTGATTGTATGGAAGACATGGTCAGTGTCACACGTGTGCCTTTTGGCCCCAGGACACAGCGTTTGGACCTTGCCAGGCTGAAGCACCAAAGGGTGCAGCCCTCTTACCCTGCCCCTGCAAAGAGACACCTGCTTTCCCATGACCAGCATTTCTGTGCTGGGGTGGGGGTGGATCAGCCCTCCCTGAGTATCTGCTGATGCCTATGGGATGGGCAGCTCTCTCATCCCTCCATCCCTCCCTTCACTCAGCCACACGTAGGACTCTGGCCCTGCTGCATCCTGAAGCCTTTGGCTGACACCTGAGAGGATCTGAGAGGTGCCTCTGGCCGGTCCAACAGCAGGTGGTCAGTCAGCGAGCTGCTTCCCCACAAGGGTTGGAGGGAAAGCATGGAGTTTGCCTTTGCAGCTCCACACCAGGCCTGGCAGCCACTGCACTCCTTGCCGTTTGTTTTATTTGTTGACTTTGGTTGGGAGGAGGGTGAGTTGTAATTCCGACATCCGAATGGATCATTACACTGGTTTTGCATGAGCAGATGCTGTGCAAGCTGTCCCCAGGCCCTGTCACACACCTCAGTGCCCTCTCCCAGGCCTCTCTCCTCCACACAACTGGTAATCCACCTCAGCCGCCCCTGCGCGGCGGCGGCTCCCTGCTCTGCCGCAGCCCCTCAGCGGCGGGGAGCTCTCAGCACCTGTTCCTCACAAACCTCAGAGACAGTTTTCTCGCTCCAGCCCCCTCCTTCCGAAGCCACTGACACCCGCGCCAGCCCAGCCCGCGGCCTCGCCTCCCAGCCGCCCTGCTGGTGGTGCTGCCGCCCGGCGAGGGGCTCCCATGCACTGCACCTCATGTCGAATAAGCTCGCTGGGCTACGCGGGGAACCACGTCTCATATGCTGTAATGTCCCAAATGCTACGGGAGGGCTACGGAGTTTTCTGCCAGTCATGGCATCCTCATAGACTCACCCGACAGTTAGCAAAAATGCATTTCTACTTCCAGAAAATGAGGTTTTGTCTCAAACCTCTCCGTATCCACATCCAAGCACAGCCCTGCTGAACTGTTTCAAGCGATCTCTCACCCACCCACTCACCCACCACACACACATATGAAATGAGAGAAAAATATCTAGACGTCTATTACTATATATGTATTAATATGTTAATATCACTCTTTTGGAGATATTAAAATGTTATTACTTTACAGACTATGCTTTATAGTACCTGTGTGAAAGGACCTAGGACACTGGATACGAATAGAGCTATGTTGATATATCATGGTATGTACACAAGAACTTTCCTTTTGTCATATTATCCTTGTAATGTAAAATGATTGTTAATAAAAAAAAAAAAAAGGCATTTAAATTTATCAAGTTGGGTTGCCAGTTCTTTGAATTGTTCTTGGAGGTTAATGTCATTTTGCCAGATGAAGGGCATCTAAGCTGATGCACTCCTGTTTCCCTCAGCCCAGGGCTATAAAGAGCAGATACAGTGCTGATTAATCCAGAAGGGTTAGTTGCCGCCCCCTGAGGTGCTGCTGGTAGTTCTCTCTCCTGAGTGACAGGCTCCTGACATGGTGAGCGCCACTGCGGCCCTTTGAAGTCCTCACCTTGGTGAGCAGGTCCAGCATGTCCTGTGATGGAGCTGCCTTGTTTCCCCGTGGGCTGGGTTATCCCAGTGCTGTGCCAGGGCTGCAGCAGGCAGACCAGGAGTGGCATCTCCCAGCAGCTCAGGGCTGCTCTGGGTCAGCACTGCAGCTACATCAGCACATGCTCTTTTTGGGTAGGGATGCAGAGTGGGTGCCCTTGAGGCTTCTCAGACCCTTTCTAGTCAGCTACAGTGGTATTTCCTTTAGCTTTGCTGTGGTGGGCTGGGCTTGTCAAGGGGATTGACAAAGCTGTATGTATGTGCCTGGTTTGGATTGAAGGATGGGGAGACTTTTCTTGAGCTCTAAATGCTCTAAATCCAGGGGAAGCTAGGCTTTTTCAATCCTTAAAAGAGAGGGCTGACTTTTAATTTTTTTGACACTGGGCTTTTAAAAGTGCAACTTTTAAAACAGTTCAATGTATTAAGAGTATTTTTGTACATGGAAGATCCTATATCTGCTAAACCATTGTGGGCAAGAGAGCCAATATCTGAAATGAGTACCTGGGTCCATGGGTTCGTCCTGGGCTGTGGATTGTGTTTGCTGTCCAAACAGCTGAAAACATTGCTTCCATGGGCTGAGTCTGGCTGCTGTTCAGCAAAGGATACACCTTGCAGCAAAGGAACCACAGGGACTATGGTTCAGATTTGCATGGCAGTACAAGCAGGGACAACCTTGCAAAGGTTTAGTCCATCCCTGGGTGACTAGAGAGAAACATAGGCAGAAAACAAAGCCATTCCAGCACAAACAGTTGCTGGCTCAGCTGTAAATGCGTCCATGTGGCAGTGGAGGGAAGCAGGAAACAAGGAGCAAGCTGTGCAGCTGAGGGTATAGATCCTGGGTGTGGCACTGCATACTGTGAGTGTTGATACTGATAGTATTGCTGAGCTTCAGTGTGTAGGGATGGAACCATCAACAGGACTGGCTCTTTAATCCTGTCTGAAGGAATTCTGGTTTTCCAATTAGCACAGGGGAAGCGTGCATGTAGACCCATCAATCCCCACAAGTGAAGGGCTGTGCAGAAATTTTGGGTTCAGAGTGAATGCCTCCAAATTTTAATGGAGAGTAGACCCTGGGGCTGGAAGTGAGTGGCAGTTTCTCATCTGAGAAGTGAAAATAGCCCCAAATTAGTCATCCAATAGGTCTAATAGGAAAGGCTGTTTTAGTTACTTCCTCAAAGTCCACTTCATTGAGCAGACCACATGTTACACACAGTGTAATTACACACAGTTTGTAATTTTCTGGTAGCTTTCACTGTAGTGATTTGAAATTGCTTATTTTGAGCAGTAAGCAAGCCCAGCAAAATCCTGGTGGTTGCTGGGGCTTAGCTTCAGTTGGGCACCTGTCAGTCAGCAGTGAAAACCTCATCTCTGGGGCTTTTGCTTTTGCTAGTCAACTGACAGCATGAAGGCAGGACAATACTTCACTTTCAGCAGCTCAACCATGTGTAAAGAGTCAGAACTGCTTGTGAAATGCATTGCTGCATTGTAATTCATTTCCTACAGGCAATTTTGTGCTGTGGACTCTAGTTAGTCACCCTTGGCAGTGATCGGCCTCCTTGCTGGTAACTTCAAACCAACGACTAAAAAGCAAGATCCCTGCAAGCAAAGTGCACTATCTGAGCTTTTATCAGGAATGGAAGCTTGCACAAAATTCATCTGATCTAGGCCTAAAGGTGCCCTTCACTTTTAGGAGCAGTGATTCTCATGTCAATATGAGTGAAAAGGAAATTGAAAAATTCCTCAGTGATGGTTGTCATAGCATTAAAGCCTGCCACGCACTTCCCCAGCTCTGTTGGTGTCCTGGATATGCTCCATGGAGCTGACTGTTGTTAGCAGCTGGTGCTAGAAACTTCATTTAGCAAAAAAATTGGACATGTTTCTTCCTGGAAGCAAGAATTGTGGGGCCCATGATGCCAAGAGCAGGTTTGCAGCACTTCCAGGGGTCCATCTTCCCTATCTTACTCTCCTGAGGCAGAGGGAAAAGCACAGGCAGCGGAGCACATGGGTGGGTTTAAACAGGTGGCCCCCAAGATGTTTAAATCATATGGCAGATATCTGGGCAGTGCCAGGTCCAGCTCTGCAGTGGCACAGGGCACCAGAGGCTGTTTCTGGCAGAGCTGTTGCCATATGCCACACAAATGGAGCCACAGCTCATTTACAAAGGGCTCTAAAAATATCTGCTGGATAATCAAAGGCTCCCACAGCACAGCATATGTGCTAGCTAGACTTTTTGGTTCTCTGAAGTCCTCTATTTGAAGTTGTTTTGATCAAGGAGAAAAACAAGTGTGCTGTCTGCACGGCTGCCAGACACCCTGTTTCTGGGGACACTGGTGGTACCTCTGCAGACACACGGGGGGGAGGGCCTCGCAGAGGTGCCAGGTCTGGGATGGGGAGCCATGTGCAGCAGAGTGTCAGGAGTGGCAGAGCTGCACTCCAGGCCACCACTGCACTTTGTTGGTGTCCAGGAGAGCTGTCTGGAGAACTGGGTAGTGTGTTGGATTTAGGTGTGACTTGTTTTCTCAGGGACATCTTGGAGCTCTGTCCTCACTGGGTTCATTCCACATTCAGTGATCACTAAGGGTTCAGGGAAGTGGAGGAGCCAACTGCAGACCTTCAGGGCAATACTGTGATACAGATGTTGGATTAGGTGCTACTCTCTCTTGTCAGACAGAGGATTACAGGACAATCCAAGTTTAATTTTAAATACTGTAGGGAGAAAAAAAGGTTCTAATAAATCTGAAGTGACAATGAACAGCAGGGTTAAGAGAAGAATGGTTCTGTGGCAGTTATTGCTGCTGTTCAATATGCTGAGCTGGGAATTACTGAGTAACCCTGTGCAAATCCCCCAGGTGGGAAGGATGGTCCCTGGCAGATGCACCACCCGTATTCAGCTCACTGTGCAGCAAAAATACAGCTTTTGCCTTCGTCTCTACAGTAAATTCTTCAGTGCCATCTGCCTCGATGTGCAGCTGACAGGCACCCCTCTTTGCAAAGCTAGCAACAGCCTGGGGCTCTGCAGACTGGCTTTGTTTTCTCTCCTTGTGCTTTAAAGCTGACACTGATGGGTGAGAGTGCCCCCAAACTGTCAGTGAGGTAAATACTTCCTGCTCCTGCTCCAAAAATCTCTTTTCTTTTACTTTTATGTGCAGGTTTTGATCTGTGTGTCTTGTTAGGAACCAGCTAATTCTGGTGATGGTATTAGGTCAGCCAAGCATGTTTTCCTCCTAATGAATGCATGGTTTACAGAGTATCATAAACACCAACTTGAAAGTACTGAGACTGGCAAAAAACAAAATAATAATTTTAAAAAAAACCCTCTAAATTCACTTCTTAGTTTTGTTTCAGAGATGGAGCCAGTGTCTGGGAAGAAACTGGTTCCCAGATCCCATTCTCTAATCTTCTTGTAGCTCCTTTAGAGCTTTGTTTTGCTGCCACCTTGCTGAGAAGGCCAATAGATTTCTTGTGCTTGCCCAGGACAGGACTCTATTGCTGACTCCTCCTCTTTTCTTCGTACACCCATCCTTTGATGACACCCTTCAGAGCATCTTCTGTAGACTCATGCCAGCACTCCGTGACCCTGACATGAGCTGCAAGCAGAGGGGACTTACTGTAAAGTAAACAATGCAGACACAGCACTGGTACAGCTTGGAATTATTTACTTGCAGTGTTTTACATTGTGGTGTAATATAAGACACAATGGCTGAGCATCATGCTCTGATTTTGTGCATTGGATTGTGAGAAGAATAATATAAAGTCTTGACAAACAATATCTGGCCTTGTACAATAAACACACTGGGACACCAAAGGAACAAGTAAGCAGAAAAGCCCCCTCATGCTGGAAGGCCACAAATCACTATTTCACTTTGCTACTTGTCTTGTACATATTGAAAACAGAAGAAATAATATTATGTGTTGAGTGTTACTATTTACTCATCATGCTTATCTTTCAACAAATTAACCAAATACATTTTAATACCTAGTTAAATTCTGAAACACATAAAAATGCTGTCAAAGCTCTGTCCTTTAATTCAATCAGACTTCAAACTGACCTTCAAAAGAGTTCAAGAAGCATGGTCCAAGCCACTTTAGCTTCCAGTTCTTAATAAATCTCATTGTAGTCAACTCACCTTAGACATTAAGAAAATTTGGGCAAACCTTGTGCTATAATTCTAGGGCCCAAATGACAACCTACTTTATTCTGGGGAAAAAAAAGAGTGGTTTTGAATACTACTGCCAGATAATACTGAAGATAGATGCTAGGAAAATACAAGGTACAACCGTTCAAGGTATTGAAAGCCCATCAGTACCTGGCAGAAAATAATTGAGCCTGAAAATTTTCCCAGTCCTGCTGAAAGGAATTTTCTATTGCTTTCTGATGTATTACCTCTTTGCAAAGCAAACATGTTTCTTATTAGCATGCAAGGATATTTGGGACAACAATTGAGGAGAAAACCCTGCACGGAAAAAATATTACCCTTACAGGGCACCAGCTGTAACCACTCCCCTTACAACTGGGGAAGGGTGCTGAGGGTAGTAATGAGTCTAAAACATCCCAGATATTTTAGTGACTATTGATGATTTGTGCTTATTAATCCTTCTACTGTAGGACAAATTGCTTAAAATCAAACTAGATCGTTTTTAGGGAGGAAGATCTAGCTCTGAGGGCAGGTTGAGGCAAAACAACAGATAACTACAGTCTATATTTTAACAAAGGAACTACAC